TGAATGTAAATAACCAAACATTGATATAAATAAATATTAAGTAAAAGAAAAAAAGTAATAAAGGAAAATAAATAAGTGCTTAAAGATAAATATGAATATGTATTGATTACGAAATAATCAATGGATCAATGATAGATAAGAATTAAAGACAAACAAACATTAAATATACTGATACGCAATGAATTAAAACCGTGTTAAAAATATGAATAAGAATTAAAATTAACGAAGCAATAACAACGGTTCTAAATAACCATTAAATAAAATTTAATATTATTAGATTTTAATGTAAGCTTTGAATATAAAGCGATTGTATACTGAACCTAACTCATTATAGTATGAATAAAAAATTAATATATATCTATTAAAGGGTGAAATGATAAATTCGAATTTAAGTAGCAACGACCCCCACCATATCGCTTAACAATACTCTGTTAACGCTCTGTTCAATAATTAAAATTAAAATATGGTTGGATTTGAAAGGCTACTTCGTCCATACTAAACAACGTAAAATATTTTTGTGGACATCTACACGAAACCACCTTTCAGGCAAACTAAACAAATTCAAATTCTGCTTATGGGAACTATTTTTAGCAATTTTTTCAGTACAAAATACACTATACTGTAGTATAGTGAAATTCAGTACAAAATGCACTATACTGGAGTATAGTGAAATCCAGTACAAAATGCACTACTGGAGTATACCGCAGTATAGCAAAATTCAGTACGAAATGCACTATACTGTAGTATATGAAAATTTAGTACAAAATACACTATACTGAAGTATACCGTAGTATAGTAAAATTCAGTACGAAATGCACTATACTGTAGTATATGAAAATTTAGTACAAAATATACTGAAGTATACTGTAGTATAGTGAAATTCAGTATAAAATGCACTATACGGTAGTATATGAAAATTTAGTACAAAATGCACAATACTGTAGTATAGCAAAATTCGGTACAAAATGCACTAGACTGGAGTATACCGTAGTATAGCAAAATTCAGTACAAAATGCACTATACTGTAGTATATGAAAATTTAGTACAAAATGAGCTATACTGAAGCATGCCGTAGTATGGCAAAATTCAGTACAAAATGCACTATGCTGTAGTGAGTGAAATTTAGTACAAAACGCTCTATACTGTAGTATAGTGGAATTCGGTACAAAATGCACTATACTGTGGTATATGAAAATTCAGTACAAAATGCACTATACTGGAGTATACCTTGGTATAGTGAAATTCAGTACAAAATGCACTATACTGGAAAATAACGTAGTATAGCAAAATTCAGTACAATATACACTATACTCTGGTATATGAAAATTTAGTACAAAATACACTATACTGAAGTATACCGTAGTATAGTAAAGTTCAGTACGAAATGCACTATACTGTAGTGTAGTGAAATTTAGTACAAAACGCTCTATACTGTAGTATAGCGAAATTCGGTACAAAATGCACTATACTGGAGTATACCTTAGTATGTCAAAATCCAGTACAAAATACACTGTACTGTAGTATATGGAAATTCAGTACAAAATGCACTATACTGTAGTATAGTGAAATTCAGTACAAAATGCACTGCACTGGAGTATACCGTAGTATAGCAAAATTCAGTACAAAACGCACTATACTGTAGTATATGAAAATTTAGTACAAAATGAGCTATACTGAAGCATGCCGTAGTATGGCGAAATTCAGTACAAAATGCACTATACTGTAGTGTAGTGAAATTCAGTACAAAATGCAGTATACTGGAAAATACCGTAGTATATCAAAATTCGGTACTAAGTGCACTATACCGTAGTATAGTGAAATTCAGTACAAAATGCAGTATACTGGAGTATACCGTAGTATGTCAAAATCCAGTACAAAATACTTTATACTGTAGTATATGAAAATTTAGTACAAAATGCACTATACTGAAGTATACCGTAGTATAGTGAAATTCAGTACAAAATGCGCTATACTGAAGTATACCGTAGTATAGTGAAATTCAGTACAAAATGCACTATACTGTAGTATATGAAAATTCAGTACAAAATACACTACACTGTAGTTTACTGTAGTGTATTAAAATTCTACATTGAGACGAAAAAAAAACAAAAAATTTCTATGTGAACAAGACCAAATAAAGGCGTGAACATGAAATCAGTTCTGGGCTTCTGATGGACCACTTTTTTTATCCACAGATCAGATCAAATTTTTGCACGGAAGTCTTAGATGGCTTCTGAAAATGCTTGTATTGAGTTCTAAAGCAATATCGATTGCAACTTACAGGTTGTTGCACATGTGTGTATTATATGTATTTTTGTGTCCATCACCGAAAGGTGAAAGATATATTCATTTTTTTCCAATATGTTTGCAAAGCTCAAATTTCAGATTTGGCAGAAGCACCGAAAGCTCTTGAACGCAGGCTAATATTCAAAATGGAGCAATGGAGCGGTCAAAGGTAAGACCTACATAAAGTGAGAAAAAAAAAATGGTTTTTCCTCCTTACTTATAAACTACAGCAGATAAATCTACAAAGAGTTGAAAGGTGAGCGATGTTGTAGCACTTGTATAAAAATGATCAAAATGGATCACGCGTACCCAGTATTATAGTGTAGCAAAATTGTAATTTTTTTTCAATACCTTTAGAGCGCACAGAAGCATAGAATATACAAATTCTTGGACTAAAAGAGATTAAAGTTTTGGATATTTAGTGAAACCCGAATACAAAGAAGACTATGAAGTTTTTTGGGAAAAAATGTTGGAAGCCATAGAACTAACTCCTTTCCCAGAGATCTAGAGACTACGTTCCTTACATGTTGGCCACTGTTGTTCTCGCTTGTCTGTTGGGATTCTACTAGAGTATGGTATAGTGTATATTGTACTTTACTACACTAGTACTATACTATATTATACTACACTATACTATACTAGAACAATACTATACTAGTGCTACACTATACTCATATCCATGTTCTCGCCAATAAATCAAATTTCAAAAGATCGTAAAAAATGTTTGCCGACAGAAAAGTTTGAACTTTGACAGATACTTTTATCTAATTTCACGTGATATAGATGAATATATGTGACATTTCCTAGTTTAGCCGCAGTAGAGTTTCGAGTTTGGGTTTTCTGCCGTATCTACTCATCACTAACATTCCAAATTTCAAAAAAAATTATTAAAAATAATTCTGATAAGCAGAATTTGGAATTTGTTTAATTTGTTTGAAAGCTATTGCGTATATGTTATGTGTTTGCCATAAAAGCACAGATTGGCAAGAAGCGAACAGACGGACAGACAATTTTATAACAACAATAATAAATGGTAGGTTTATCTGAAGCCCTTCTACGTGTTAGTTATATTCGCACAAGCACAATATACTCTGTACCACAAGTGATGTAATATATGAAAATTTTAATGTCAATAGCAGATAAAACCTAGATTAATAAATTTAAATGCAAATGCTTGGACTTGGATCCACCACATACAACTATAGGAAAGCGAGGATGCCATGATATTATTTTATTTCTGGATTGGTGATAGTACTGCCTTTGACATCTATGAACAGTTTCATGTCAGTACATAATTACTTGAAACAGATGTGAGTTTGTATCATATCCAGTTTTGGTATAAGGATAGATTAACCTTGCCTGTCTCTTTTTTTTTTTTTTTTTTTTTTTTTTTTTTTTATTTAATCCATACAGGTTGAAATTGTTGAGACATATGATGAAATTGGCTACACTGACATATTTTGGTCCAAGGACGTGCGGCATTGAAAATGTTTCGGATAGAACTATCCTTTTGCCCACTTTCCATATAACACTTGATTTTGAAAAGTCCTTATTATGAATAAATGTGATGAGTGAAGGGATGCAGAGATGCAGAATGATGATCTGTGGCCCATTATAGTGCTTTGACTTATTCGAAACATATAAACTGAGTGTTATGACTTTTACTATGTTCGTGAAACAATAATTTCTAACTATCAGGACATCATGGAACCCATCGTTACGAGAGATGTTGAAAATTTGAATCTACCCATTCGAGCCGGACGGAGACAAGCGACTAATCGAATGAATATCGTGGAAAAGACGAATGAAGATCGAGCAAACTATATCAAAATCAAAACAGCTCAAGGTCGCTTTCACACGTTTTCTTCGTGTTATCGCATCGTTCTTGTGCACTATTAAATTATTTGAGTTCGTCGTACTCATTGATTGAGGCGATCAAATTGATTTGGAAGACTTTATATTAGTTTGGGGAAAAAGAAATCTATTATGTTTTCGGTAGATGACTGCACTGATAGATTTCTCGTAAAGTATCGATCAAACAATTTCGTATTTATGCATTTTATATATATACTCTAAGAGTCGCCCTAATACAAATAAAACACTTTTTAGTCGCCTCTAAACTTGGCTAATTAAAAAGTAATCAAAAATCATAGCAACATTAATTATTTTAAATGCAATATTATGTCAACTATTGTAGCGCATTATGTCAAATACAATAAATATTAGATATATTTGAGGTAAAAAAAAAAAAAAGAAGAAAATAGAAGCCATTTATATATAAGCCTGGCTTTTTTTTTTTTTTATTTTTTTTTTTTTTTTTTTTTTTTTTTTAATAATTTTAACATTGATGTCAATTCGTTGACGTTTACGATATAAAGTATAAGATAATTAATAGTGAGGAGGAACAATGGAAAGAATATAAATTTATGTGAGTACATAAATATATACTTATCATCATTTGAACAACATCTATAAAAAGAAATATGCCTGAATGTATTAAAAAAAAAAAAAAAAAAAAACACACACACACATACACAAATATTGTTCTCTTATCTATTCATGATATATATATGGAAATGCGTAAAAATCGTGCTCAGAATTTAAAGAACAATGAATGACTCTTTAGTGTTTTTTTTTTTTATTTTACTTCTTTTTTTTTTTTTTTTTTTTTGTAATGTTTGTAACGATCAAGAATTCATTTTGACGGGACTTACCTCAATTAAATTGGAGAGAAAAGTCACTTTACGATTCTTTTTAAGACGCATACTGCTACTGGCAGTGCCAATGCTACCGCTATTGCTGCTGCCAACGCCAATTGTTGTTGTCGTCGTATTACAATTATTACAATTATTATTGAGTTGAGTGTTATTGATAATGCTTGTTGTTGCTGTATTTATAGCATTTAAATCTAAAGTGTGATCTAACAAATTATTACTATTTGTTATATTATTGTTGCTTGATGTCTTATTATTAAATAAATAATTCGTTTGAAAATTAAGAATATCATTGAAATGCGCCGTTGCTTCCGAATTATGAGAGTTTGTATCGTAAAACGAGGCCGTACCAGATGAGGGCAGCATAAATTTTGTCGTTGGCAACTCTGTCTTACAAATAGCTAATTCCATAATTGTAAAGAAGACATCTGCAAAAACAAAAACAAAACAAATAAACAAATTTTTTATTTTTTTTTTTTTTTGAAAAATTGAAAAATATAAATGAATTGCGTTTAAGCGAAAAATTTTTAAATATAATATAAACAAATTTTTACAATAATTATTTAATAAATTCATGCGCCGATGTCAGACAGTACGTTGTTTACTTTACTATATCTATATAGTATATGTTAAACGCACGAAACCACTTAATATCTTGTCACTTCGTAATTAAGACACGTGCTCGATGTTGTGTTTATTTACACATTGTATTGATAAATAATTAATTTAATTGTTTTTGTTAACAATCATGAGGATTGAAGATTGAACATTTTTTTTTTTTTTTTCTTTCAAATTAATTCACTTAAGATCGAAGAGGTATACTAAGTTTCTCAAATTGTTTAACTCAAGAATACGCATCAGAAGTATCAGAGAGCACTTCGAAAGTGAATTTCTTCTTTAGATCAGGGATGAAATTTTTAAAAGCAAAATCTATTTAGTGTCTTTTTACAATAAGAGAAGATTTCATTAGAATCGATAACCGCAGGGTAAGGGAGGGGAGGTATTGCTTAATCAAGCTATTAGGAATTCCGACTCTTAGACCGGCATATTCAGATTCAATTTCTAGTGCGGTAGGCTATACTTTATCAAATAATGTTCAATGCCAAGTGCTTCAAATTAGTTTGGCTCGTATATAAATCTGGGAATTACATAAATTATCACTGATTGACTTAGTTCATCCACTCCTAATATTCGTAATAGTAAGCGAAAAATACAGAGTATACATGCCTAAGGTCTACAATGAACAGAAACGTTACTAATGATTTGATATCGCTCCCTAAACATAACCTGAAAATAAAATTAATTATTATTGCAGTACAGAGTTTCTTCAGAAACTTTCGAGATGGAAAGTTTTTCTTAGCCTCGACTGCGGTTCCAAGAAGACAGACGCAATTAAATTAAAAGAATGTATCCTGCAATGCGAGATAAAGTTGAAATGTTCTTGCCTAGAATAATTTGGACAACAACGATAAGGGCTATTAGAACGTTACGAAGGCAGAGCCAAAGTATGAAGTCAGCCCTTGCAGAATGTAGAGTTTATTCCACACCGTTTTTAAAAAGCGGGAGTTCAGTCGCCAAAAGTTCCCTTTTCTTACAGGACTCCCAGGGAGGTCCCTAAATACTAAGAAATCCTATGTTGAGAAAAGAATTTATCTTACAAGGGATTGGAAAAACGCTAATGCTTAGGTATCATAGCCTAGGTCAGGTTTAATAGCAGTGCAATTGTCTTCTTCTTAAAGGAGTTGTTAATTGTCCTTGGAGAAACTGCCTTAACTCTCTGATCTGCTGCTATTCTCCAATAAATAATACGAGCTTTTAAACTTTAAACATCTCCTTCCTACAGATATTGAAGGTATCGGCGGGTTCACGAATAAGTGAAGTGAAATAGAAAGATATTTGTTATCACATGCCGACCATGATTTCCTTATTAGTGACCCCTGTTGCGACCCATGCTGCCGATAAAACCTAACATGAGATAACCATAATTGTTTGTTCAGCTTTCTACAATCTTTTGTGGAAGCATTAATTCTTCGGGTCTAAAAATTGATACAAAAGCCAATACTTAAGGAAACAAAGATTTCAAAATTTGTGATCAATAATTCCAAACATGCACCAAAGCAAAAGATCAACTCAAGAAGGGTCCTGAGAGATCATGTGAACATAATAAGGTTAACAAAAAAATCTGTAACATTGAGAGTGTGTTCTCTTTTATTTATTTATTTTTTTTTACATGAAAAGGTTGCTCTCGGTATTTTAATTTTTTTAGTTACTGAGGTCAAGAGATCATACAAATTAAAAGCGGCGTATTTGGTGAAGGTACTTGATACCAATATATCGCCTTATGGGCTGTTATAACTTTCTTTTTCATTTTTCGTACTTTTTTTCATTTGGTTTTTTTATTTACTTAAACATGCACGAAATTTCAGCCTCTTTTAAATTATGCGAAACGGTGCGTGTAAGAATTTTTATTTACCAATAGTGAAATACCTTGTTTGTATATCATCTTAACCAAGTCAACAACAATTAGTTGATTTATTTACATTAACAAGTAAATATTTATTAATGGACAACAATCGTTCTTAATACGTACACGAGGCAAGTGTGCGAGTTTTACATCTCACATTAAGCGGAAAACTTCAAAAAATATTTAAGCGGTAGGGAGTCATAACAATTTTGGTTATATCCCTGCTCTGCGTTTATGGGTAGGGAAAACAATATTTGGATATGTGTATCTATTCGCTAATGTCTTAAAATCAGGTCAAATGTAGTCTGGAATAAACGGAAAAGTCAATAATCATTATAGACTCACAATCTTCGATGGTCAGCATGTTAAGCTTTAGAATTGCAAAATATATGCTTGAGGGAAAGCGTCTGTGGGAATATATACACTAACTGTCATAGGCACTACGATTAAATAGGCGTAGTAGGGCGTCAATAAAGTCAATCTTTAAAATATATTTGTAGCCATTGACGATGAATATATCCTGAGGGTGATGGCTTGACCTGTCGGTAACCCATAACACACATGACAATAGACAGCGAACCCCTTCGCCCCGAGAATGATTATTCCTCGAGTGCCCAGAGATATAAGAAGGGTCCCCTTAGTAAAATCGAGGCCTTTAACATTTTCTGAGATAACAACCGATTGAAACGGAACTTCAAACCGAAGAAACAAGTAAACCCTGCACACCTTCCACAGTTTAGACCGACCGCAGCCACCGCGAATAGATCAGGTTAAGGATACATAAGAAAGCCCCAAATTTCTATCGCAGTTCTGCAAAAAACTACCAACCAAAGGACAAAACGAAAGGGGAAAAGGATCAAATCCAGATAGATGCTAATGCAATTGCTTTATGTCTAAGCGTCCAGATGTTACAGGGAGAAGAACGGATCTAGTAGAGCCGTATCTTTAGAAGGTAGATATGACAAAAGAAAACCTGCCTAACTAGCATCAAAAATTAATTAAATCGATCCTTAAATCCGCCTACTATCGCTAAATATCTAAGACTTACATTATTTACTCACAATGGTTTCTATTGCGTAATAATATCTTGTTATGGTTGGTTTTCAACTACTTTATGTTCGCTACCCGATTCTTCGGATATATTATATCCCCGATCGTTACGTTTAAAATGCGCAAGGGCGAGCATATATATAGCGTAGCTTACATAGGACAAACAGTATAAGCAAAGATTGTATAAATATCATAATATAAACGCATAAAGAAATGCTTATGCATATCACGTTACACTTACAGTATGCAGAATGCTTCTACATATTCAAATCATTCAATTCAGTTTTTAATGAAATACTTATCTCTTGATGTATTTTTCTTAAGAAACCAACAAACGAGACGTAGAGCGATAATAACGAAAACAAAATTCAGCCTAAACCGCTACAAAATTTTTTGTTCTTATTTCTCACTTTTTATGGCTTATCTGGGAAATTTTACGATTGCTTCAAAGATACCGCTTGATTGCTATTTGAGTTTTTCTCATAGTTTGTTTATTTTTTGGCTTTTTCTTGCATGCCAACAGAAGATATACAAATTTGACTGTTCTCCATGGCATAAACTTCTAAAATAATCTAAGTATTGTGTATAGCTTTAAGAAAACGAAATCCACCAAAATACACACACATGTAGATATATATGTAGATATATATATATAGTTATATATATGTAGATTTGAAAAAAATCTGCGTAAACTTTCTTCAATTATTGAAAGATTGTTATATGCAAGTGACAGCATAATATAAAAACGACGTTTATATTGGAAAGTTACAAGAGCACTAACAGTAGTCCGTAAAATGTTGAACGAGTCAATCTGTTTGGCAACTTTGCTTCAAATGCATAACAATCTTGCTCAGCATCTATTCGAGCTTAGCCGAAGTCCACCTTTTTTCCAGTTCCTGTTTGGCAACTTTGCTTCACATGCATAACAATCTTGCTCAGCATCTATTCGAGCTTAGCCGAAGTCCATCTTTTTTCCAGTTCCTGTTTTTTTGCAAATTTTCTTTATATCACCAGTTTTTTCGAACTCAACTTGGTTACAAGTTCTCAAAAATTAGATCATAGATTGAACACACAATTACTTGAGCAGATGTAGGACAGATAGAGGGATGGAAAGGAATCGGCTCAAACAACGATTCTACTAAACGTATCGGAGAAAATGAAAGACTAATCTACTTTAAAGTCCTTTTGGCGGCGGTATGGATGCCAAGTGGGGTAAGGTATAAATGCAAATTGTAGTAGTTTTGCGAAGAATTTATTGCTCGGATTTATTGCAAAATATTTCATCACCAGCGAAGTGTAAGAATCTCAACGCCTTTTAATCCTCTGCGAGCTACTCTAGCCCAGGCGATCCTGAAGTATTGCAAAAACTCATTGTTTTGCAACGCAAATGTCACGCCACGAAATACTTTTTCGTATAACAAATATATTAGAAACTCCTGCCTTTGGTAAGCAAACTTTTAAATCTAAGAAACTTTTTATTCAATTTACTGATGCAGTCCATAAGCCAGCTAAACTTTATGCTGACAACGAATAAGTTTGTGTGGTAAGGTTTTTTTTTTTTTTTATTTTGCTTTCTACGATCCTTCGCTAAGTGGTATTAATCAAAATTTTTATAATTACACCAGAATTGAGCAGAATTTTTCATTACTTGATTTTCATTTGCTATCAAATTATTCGAAAGCTTCGTTAACTTGTGGTGCCGTATAAAACAATAAAATATTAATCATGTCTTGTTTTCCACAAAAAAAAAAAAAAAAAAAAATTCAATTTTAAACTTTTATTATTTATTATGCTATCAAATATAGAAAAAACTCTGATCAACTTGTTGCCCTTACACTTCCACTTCTCCTTTATGGCGATATTTATTAATTTCATTTCATTATAAATCATAGATTTCCTATGATCATCGTAAAA